TTTTTTTTTTTTTTAAAGCAATTTATTGGATTTTACAATAGGAATAAATGTAATAAACAATATAACATTCGTTTTAACATAATTTCACATTTTCTTTGGACTTCCTCACACCTCCCGCTCCCACCTTCATCATTATAACATTTTGTCAGCAATTTATCATCTTATTTAAATTCTTATATCTCTTCGATATTTCATAATCTTATAGTTCTCATAAAGAGTTAAACTTTCACAGTTTTTCTTATTTTCTTAAAAACTTCTAAGTTAAGTGGTGCTCAGTTATTTAGTCTAGCATCTTATTCAGCATTCAGTCAAATCACAATGTTTTTGTAGGTAGTTCTTAAATTTCTTCCAATCCTCCTCGATTCTCTCTTCTCCCAGGTCACGGATTCTGCCAGTCATTTCAGCCAGTTGCATATAGTCTATCAGTTGCATCTGCCATTCTTCCAGTGTGGGTAGATCTTGAGTTTTCCAATGTTTTGCGAGTAGTATCCTTGCTGCTGTTGTTGCATACATAAAAAATGTCTGGTCCTTCTTTGCCACCCCTTGGCCGACAATACCCAAAAGGAAAGCCTCTGGTTTCTTAGTGAAAGTATATTTAAATACCTTTTTCAGTTCATTATAGATCATTTCCCAGAACGCCTTCACTTTAGGGCAGGTCCACCAGAGGTGAAAGAACGTTCCTTCACACTCTTTACATTTCCAGCACTTGTTATCAGACAGGTGGTAAATTTTTGCGAGTTTGACTGGGGTCATATACCATCTATAAATCATTTTCATTACATTTTCTTTCAAAGCATTACATGCAGTAAATTTCAATCCATTACTCCACAACCTTTCCCAGTCCTCAAACATAATATTATGCCCAATATCCTGTGCCCACCTTATCATAGCCGATTTAACCATTTCATCTTGTGTATTCCATTCCAACAGCAAGTTATACATCCTTGAAAGTATCTTACTCTTTGGTTCTAGCAATTCTGTTTCTAATTTCGATTTCTCCACCTGGAACCCTAGTTTCTTATCATTTTTAAAAACTTCTTTAATCTGAGCATAGTGTAACCAATCTCGCACTTTGTCTTTCATTTTCTCCAAACTCTGCAATTTCCAATTGTCTCCATCTTTTCTAGTATTTCCCAATATTTTGGCCATTTGGCCTCCATATTGGGTCTTTTTCGAGCCTTAGCTTCCAAAGGTGAAAGCCACCTTGGTGTTTTATTTTCCAGCAAGTCTTTATATTTTGTCCAGACATTAAACAGTGATTTTCTAACAATATGGTTCTTAAAGGCCTTATTTGCTTTAACTTTGTCATACCATAAGTATGCATGCCATCCAAAAACATTGTTAAACCCCTCCAAATCTAACACATCAGTGTCTTCAAGAAGTAGCCAATCTTTTAGCCAGCAGAACGCTGCGGCTCGTAATACAACTTTAAGTCCGGCAGGGCAAAGCCCCTCTTTGTTTTGCATCAGTTAGTATCTTAAACTTAATTCTGGGCTTTTTGCCCTGCCAGACAAACTTCGAAATGTCTCTCTGCCACTTCTGAAAGCACTCCATTTTGTCCAAAACCTGAAGTGTTTGAAATAAAAACAACATTCTTGGCAATACATTCATCTTAATCGCAGCAATTCGGCCTAACAAAGAAAGTTTCAATTTTGACCAACTGTCTAAGTCTCTCTTGATTTCTGTCCAACATTTTTCATAATTGTCCTTAAATAGACTTAGATTTTTTGCTGTTATGTTTACCCCTAGGTATTTTACTTTTTAAACACATTATGGTCCGTCTCATTCTGAAACCGTTCTGACTCTGTCTCAGTCAAATTTTTCCCCAAAACCTTGGTTTTCTGTTTGTTTAATTTAAATCCCGCCACCCGACCAAAGTCATTAATCAATTGTAATACTCTTTTCGTACTAGGCTCTGGCTTCTGCAAGGTCAAAACCAGGTCATCTGCAAAAGCTTTTAGTTTATATTGTTTCTGACCAACCTGAATTCCTTCCACCAACTGGTCCCCTCTAATCATGTTCAATAGCACTTCCAGGACCGAAATAAATAACAAAGGGGAGATAGGGCAACCTTGTCGTGTCCCTTTTTCAATTTTGAACTCTTCTGTAACCACATTATTAACTATCAGTTTTGCTTTCTGTTCTGAATATATCGCCTCAATCCCATTCTCAAAACCCCGTCCCACTCCCATCTCTTTTAAATTTCCCATCATAAATTTCCAAGAAATGTTATCAAAGGCCTTCTCCGCATCTATAAAAATTAAAACTGCTTTTGTGTTTATGTCAGTTTGGAGAAGTTCCAAGATGTCAATAATGTTCCTTGTGTTAGCAAACAAATGTCTACCTGGGAGAAAACCGGCCTGGTCCTTATGAATTACTTCATTTAAAACTTTTTTAAATCTACTTGCCAAAATATCTGCAAATATTTTATAATCCACATTTAAAAGGGAGATGGGACGGTAGTTCTTCAGTTGTGTCTTTTCAGTTTCTGACTTTGGTATCAATGTGATAAACGCTTCCTTCCACGAATCCGGTGCCCTCTTCCCCTCCATAATTTCATTACTAACCTCCATCAAAGGTTGTATCAAATAGTCTTTTAGTGTCTTGTAATACTTGGAGGTCAGCCCGTCTGGCCCTGGAGATTTGCCAAGTTGCATGTTCTGAATAGCTTGTTCAATCTCCTGTCGTGTTATTTTAGAGTTCAGGATTGTCCTATTTTCTTGTGACAGTTTAGATAATCCATTTTTGCCAAAAATTGTTTAATCTCGACTTCGTCTTGCGGCCCTTGGGTATATAGTTTTTTAAAATATCTCTGGAAACACTTTCTAATGTCCACTGGATTCTGAATGTTTCTTCCATCAACCTCTAAATTTGTAACCGTATTTAATCTTTGTCTTCTCTTCAACTGCCAGGATAGCAGTTTTCCACATTTATTCGCCGACTCAAACGTTTTTGTTTCATTAATTTAATCTTCCATTCAATTTCCTGATTTATCAATTTAGAATATTGTGTTTGATACAGTTTAATTTCTCTCAGAGTTGGCTGTGACTTTGGATTCACTCTTAATTTCTTCTCTAATTCTTTTATTTTATCCAAAATCTTGTCTTTTTCTCATTTTGTGTTTTTTTCTTTACTACATTCTGTTGTATCAGGAATCCCCTCATAACAGCTTTGCTTGCGTCCCAGACGATTCTTTTGTCCACCGAATTGTTCATGTTTATCTCGAAATAGTCTTTCAAAACTTTTTGGGCCTTCTTGGTAATTTCCTGATCTCTAAACAAATTGTCATTCATCTTCCATCTAAAGGATCCAGTTGGTAGTAATGTCATATCCATCTTTACTGCATTGTGGTCAGAGCAGGTCTTTGGGCAGATTTCCACTTTTCTAACCCTAGGTGCCAGGCCTCTAGAGATCCATATTTGGTCGATTCTTGTCCAGGTCAGTTGGGCTTCAGAAAAGAATGTTCCTTCTCTACCTAGTGGGTTCTTTGTTCTCCAAATGTCGATCAAGTCCATATTGTCAGTCATTTCAAAAAAGGTTTTAGGTAGTCTGCCATCTTTTGTGATATTTTGACTTTGCGACTTGTCCATGTTAGTTGACACGACTCCGTTCATGTCTCCCATCATTATGATGTTGTTGTAATCCAGATGATCCAGCATTGTCCCCTGCAACTTCTTGTAAAATTCCGATTTCCCTTCATTGGGCGCATAGATTCCTAATATCAGCAGTTTCTCTCCTTGATATTGTATCTCAATAGCCAAAATCCTTCCATGTTCATCTTTAAATAGAAATTTAGGTGACAGGCTCTCTTTTGCATATATCACCACTCCTCTCTTCTTCACTTTGTCCGACGAAATAAATTCCTGGCCCAATCTTTTATTTATTAACACTTTTCTGTGGAGCCTCGTCACATGTGTTTCTTGTAAACAAATAATGTCCAATTGTTCTTTTTTAATATATGAAATATTTTCTTCCTTTTCTCCGGAATATTGCAACCATTAATGTTCCAGCTCAACAGTTGCAGAGACATCCTGGATCTGTCTGGTTATTTCTCCCGGGGTGGTGTCTTCTCTGGGTCTTCAAGTTCCCGAGGTGGAGGTATTGATGCTGGCTTTGCCTCAGGCCCGGAAGGTAGTTCAATTCCTTTATGTAGGTCCTCTCCGTATGTAGCCAGAAATTTGTCTCTCTCTTCCAATGTTCTAATTTTAACCTTTCTCGCTCTAAAGGTGAAAGATAATCCTTGGGGAAATTCCCACCTAAATGGAATTGCGTTGCTCCTTAATAGTTTAGCAAGTTCAGAATAGGCGGCTCTAAGGTCCAACAGTTGTCTTGGGATATCTTTGTATATCTCAATTCTTCTATCCAAAACCTCCAGTGACTTTTCGTAATGTAGGCCCAAAATCTTATCCCTTTCCTCCTTCGATCTCAATGTAATCAAACAATCCCTGGGCCTCTCCTTCTTTATAAATCTTCCAAGTCTGAAAGCTGACACAATTTTAAAGTCCTTTTCTTCCAAATTCCAGAACTTGGAAAGTTCTTTGGTCAAAAACTCAGTTAGATTTCCTTCTTCTGCCTCTTGTAGTGATCTAATCCTCAAGTTATTCTCACGATTTCGCAGTTCTATCATAGAAAGATAAGTCTGATGTTCCCCAACTTGTTTAGTGAGTGGTCTTACCTCTTGCTCTAAATTTTCCAATTTTTGTCTGGTATCCTCAGCCAATTTTCGGTTTTCTGCTGAGGCCTCCGTCAACTGTCCAATTGCTTGTGTATTCTGTCCCACCTGTGTAGTTAATTTGTTTAGACAATCTGTATTTTTATCAATCTTTGCTGATTGCGCATCTACTTTCTTGTCCAAAGCTTCCAATTTTTCAAAGATTTTTTCTAGCACAGAAAGAGATGCTCCTGAGGCCATATCTTCCAATTGTAACTGCTCTGCTTCACCCTCTCCCTCTTTTGCCTGTGGCAAGGCAGCTTCTTCAAGTTGTACTTCTGAGGGCAAAGTAGGCACAGATGATCTACGTGTCTGCGAGGCTGAGGTTAGAGTTGTTAGAGTTGTTTGTCTAACTCTTCCTCTTCTTCTTGTACCACTCATTCCAATGTTATCTATCAGTCAAGGTCACACTGAGTTTTTCCCACAGGAATAGAGAGGCCCAGAGCAAGCAGACAACAAGGGAATCGAAAGTAAATGTATTTGTAAAGTCACTGTTTTAATCCAATCCTCTAGAGGGAGCTTAAAATGTCTTTCAGAGTCTGATTTAATGTCCCAGAACCTTCCAATATAAGTATTAAGCAGAGTTTAAAAGTAATCACTTTGTTGCAGACAGTGCTTATTTGTCTCCAAAAAGAATGTTTCAAATTTAAAAGGTCTCAATACCCTCAGATTGTTGCAACTTCTAATATACAGTATCCAAGTCAAACACTGACAGCTCACTCTTACAGTGCTCAAGCAATCCTGACTCTGGGTTTCACCTTCCAATTTGTAATCCAATAAAAGGGGGAAAGTCAAATGCAAATAAAAGGTCCAAATCTTTAACTTGCTAGTTTTACTTTAAATTGTAAGTTCCATAGATGCTTGGCTGTGTAGAGTTTAAAATCTCTTTCTTTCAGCCTCCACTCCTCCGCCTTAGTTGCTTTTTTTTTCAAGTTCAATGGCAGCGGAAGACGGACTTCCTGTTTCCACGTCTCTCCGCTTTCAGCCAAATTCAAGCCAAATTAAACCTTCTCATTTAAAATTTGTAATTCCAAGTGATTCAGTCTTTACTCACGAATAAGTTGTTTTCTTCCAGGTCCGAATTTTAACAGGAAAAGGGATCAGCGCTCACCGGCAGCAGCAGCGCGGCTTCACTCCGCTGACTGTGAAACGGCTCACAGCGCCGCAACCCCCCTCCACGCTCCGGAGCCCCTTACGAGGCTCCTTCTGCAGTTGGAGGGCTGCTCTTGGCGCCCGCCGAGCCTCAGGACCCCAGGCTCTTGCTGCCTGGGGTTTTCCTCGT